GCCAGGTGTGGTGGTGCATGCCTGTAGTCCAAGCTACTCGGGAGGCTGAGGCAGAAGGATTGCCTGAGCCGAGGAGATCGAGGATTTGGTGAACAATGACCACAGTCTGGGTGACAGAGTGAAACTCTGACTACAAAGGGGAAAAAAATGTCACCAATGGGTCCTTATCTACTACACTAAATATAGGTCACCTAGTCTCATCCTCATCACACCTCTTATGGTAGGCATGATTAAACTCAACTTACTTAGTCCTCAGAAACCTGCGGTTCAGAGGGGTCTGGTGGCAAAGTCAGATTTCAAGGACAGCTCTCTGCCAAAGATCACTAAGCACGCCTTTTCTGAGGCCTCATTTCATAGCAATTACCATGTTCCTGCAACAGGGATAATAGACACACCTTCAGAGAGTGCTTCCTCCCAGGTCTCCTGGACTCGGGGCTGCTGGAATAAATGACACTAGAAAGCCCACCTCGCCCCAAAATGTCACCTCCCCTATTGAGGTCTCCAGTGGAAATCACCCTGTTGGCGATTCCTGTTTGTTCAAGGCCATGTTTCCCAGTTTCATTCATTCAGGTCCTTCCACCCCTATTCCTGTCCTATCCCCTTCCACATGGACTAATATGAATTTGATGTTTTTACTTAAACAAGCTTTAATAAGTTTATTTTACAAGGAAGACTGATATTAAGAAGACACAGCCAGCCCCTGCAGTGGGCTGACAGGTGGACTATGTCACCTCCACCTGCTGGTGTTGGTAGTGGGGAGGGCTGTTCACATGCTAGCTGATGCAATGGGAAGCACTAGTTTGAAGTATAGCCCTCTGTTAGGAAATACAAATGTCTATCTACAGCTCTGTGGATCGGGAGACCAAAGGATTCTTTCTTTGATCCTGTTCCCAACTTTGGACAACCCCATTTTAGACTCATGTTCTTTGAGCGTTAGCATTGAAAGTCCACGGGATCCAAGTCCAGAGGATCCAAGAGGGAGGTGCTTCCCTGGGGCCACCACCTGGTACAGATGATGACATCAAAGCCCACCAAGATGAAGGAAGGACCTTGACAGGTGGGACAGGTGTAACCAAACACGGTGTAGAGAGAGAAGTCCAGATCATGGCCCCGGCACTGGGTGGGGTCTCCATGGTGTCCCAGGGCAGAACTAGGGCAGAGGAGGAGCTGTCTGAGGAGGGGAGAGGAGCTGAGAGGCAAGTGAAGGTTCTCCCTTTCATAATTCCACCTGGGCTCACTCTGCCTCCTTCCCAGCCCTCCTGCCAAATGAGGATCTCAGTCCCATAGCTAGCTTTCCTCTTGACATCACCACTTAGTTACAGGAAGGTGAAGAGCAGAGCGTGGGCTTACTGATTGCCCTCTGAAACCCTTTTGACTCCAAGGAACGGTTTTCTAATACAAGCTAACCATTTGGTAGAGTGCGTGCAAAGAAAAAAGGCTTTGGAGACTGTGATATTGTTAAATAGTCGAGTCGACGTAAACATGTGGTCTCTGCCTCCAGTTCCTGGCGCAGATCTCCTAAAAAAACCCTTCCTTGTAGAAGGGGTGCCGGGAGAACCATTTGTTCTACTATGCGGTCTTTGATCCCAGTTCCTGAAACAGAGCTCCTCCATCCCTTGGAATTTCCTGGGCGATAGGAGCACCTTTTGTTCTAGTAAGGTGACTTGGTGGGCTCCTGCATAGCCTTGGGATGGGGGCTGGTTGTCAGAGGAAGCAGCCCTGTGACTGGAGGGTTGAAATGCTCAGTCCCACCTACCCCATGAGTGAGCTCCAGGGAAGGTTGAGTTGATACCCACTAGTTAATTATTATTATTATGGTTATTTGAGACAAGGGCTCACTCTGTCACCCAGGCTGGAGTACAGTGGCACAATCACGGCTAACTACAGCCTCCAACTCCTGGGCTCAAGCAATCCTCCTGCTTCAGCCTCCCAAGTAACTGGGACTACAGGTGCCTGCCACCATGCCCAGTTATTTTTCTAATTTTTGTAGAGATGGGAGTCTGTCTCACTTTGTTGCCCAGGTGGATCTCAAGTGATCCTCCCACCTCAGCCTCCCAAAGCACCGGGATTATAGGTGTGAGCCACCATGCCTAGCCCCACCGGCTAATGATTTAGTCATTCATGCCTGTGTAATAAGCTTCCATAAAAACCCAAAAGGATTGGGTTTGGAGAGTGGAACATATGGAGGCACCTTGAGGGTGGTGCATCTGAAGAGGTCATGGAACTCCACATCCCTATCCACATGCCTGGCCCTATGCATCTGTTGGGCTGTTCATCTGTATTCTTTGTAAAACCCTTTTTTAACAAACCAGTAAACACAAGTAAGTGTTTCCTTGAGGGTGTTTTGTTTTGTTTTGTTTTTGAGTCAGGGTCTCACTCTGTTGCCCAGGCTAGAGAGCAGTGGCATGATCATGGCTCACCGAAGCCTGAACCTTGTGGACTCAGGCAATCCTTACACCTCCACCTCCTGAGTAAAGCAGGGAGAATTAGGGCAGAGGAAGTATGTACCACCACACCTGGCTTTTTTTCTTTGTTTTTCTAGAGACAAAGTCTCACTATGTTGTCCATGCTGGTCCTGAATCCCTGGACTCAAGCAATCCTCCCACCTCAAAGTGTTGGGACTAAAGACGTGAACCACCATGCCCAGCAGTTTCCGAGTTCTCTGAGCCACCCCTGAAAATTAACTAAACCTAAGGAGAGTTGTGGGAATCCTGAGTTATAACTCATCAGTCAGAAGCACAGGCCAGAAACCTGGGACTTGTGATTGACATCTGAAGCGGGGGGCAACCTTGTGGGACTGACCCCTTGTCTTGTGGACTTTGATGCTGTCTTCCAGTAGGTAGCATCAGAACTGAGTTAAATTAGAGGACAGCCAGCTGGTGTTCACTAGAGACTTTTTTGATGGATGAGGAAACCCAAATACCTTGGGTGTCAGAAGTGGTGTGCTGAGTGTTGTGTGAGAGCAGGAAGGCACTTGGGTTCGGTGTTTTTCCATCTCTTATAGGACAGACCTGGGTTTCAACCCCAGCTCCATTTCATCCTAGCTTTGGACAGATGGCAACCTCCCTGAGCCCAATTTCTTCATCTATTAGTGGGGTTTTGTGAACTGCCTGACACATGGCAACACGCTTCCTCTCATGTCTCCTTCCAAATGGAAAGAGCCTTGCCTACTCTCTCTAGGTGTCACGCCTCCTAGTCGCTAAATTCCAAAGATGAAAAAATGATGGCAGGCTGCCCCCTAGTTCCTTTCTGAATGACCCCTGGGTCCTTAACCTGACCCTAGGCAGCCATTTCTTGAGGAATTGGACTGTGAAGTCATCAATCCCCATTGCTTCCCCCGACATCCCTGTAGCTCTGTAGCTGTTTAAAAAGGACGTATGTTTACATAAATGGAAAATGTGTTCAGAGAAGTTGGAGAAGAATGAATGAGGCCAGTGCTAACTTTGTAGATCTTAAAAAACAACAATTGCCAAGATTGATAGACAACAAAGACAGCAAATGAAACACCTTTACATACAGGTCAAAAAATACCACCAAACCCTGAAGTGTTACAGATGGCCCATTCTGTGTTTCAGTATACATATACCAACTTGATAAGCATGACCAATTCATATGATGTGTCAGATCATCTTTATTGATTTACTCTAATTAAATTTAATTAATTTAATTAAGTTTATCTCTTTCCTGGTTCATTCTCATCCCCCTTCTCTCTCTCTCTCTCTCTCTCTCTCTCTCTCTCTCTCACACACACACACACACACACACACAGACAAGGAAGCCAGGTCACCAGTTGAGAGTAAAGTCTAGGGAGGAGGATTTGAGGTTTGAGAAAGAGGAGTCTGGAAGTCTAACCTCCTTTTGAAGTGTGCCTGTGATGGAGTGAAAATTGGCAAAGCAAACACGTATCTCTGAAGTCTATTCCTGCTGTCTCCATTGGTAAGTAAAGTCCTACGCCAGCCCTTCCTCACCTCCCTCAGCTGAAAACCAGAGATCTCATGAAGGAAAATTGAGTCATAGTTCTGTGACGTGCCTAAATGGGGAAGGAAAGGAATGCTCTTCCCTTCTATCCTCCCCCTAACAAGAAGCCAAATGAGAGCAGGCCTCCTGGCTGAGACTGGAGGTGACCCAATGAAGATGACGACAGCATTTCCTTTCTACGTTGGATGTCTGCTGAGCAGCATGTGGCTGAGGCTGACTCAAAAGACCCACAGTCACGGCAAGATCTGTGTGGTAACAGGGCTACAACAGAAGGATGTGGTTGGAGTGAGGAGAAAGTGGCCAAATGATTTGACCGTCAAAGCAGGTTTCACCCAGGAAGTTCTATCTGAGCTGGGTCTTGAAGAAAGAGTCAGAATTTACCAGGTAGAAAAGGAGAGAGACAAGCAACAAGAAATGAAGACAGGGGTGATGTATTCATTGGGACATGATCAGAAGTGCAGCATGAAGCCGGGCTCAGTGGCTCAGCCTGTAATCCCGCGCATTGGGAGGCTGAGGTGAGTGGATTGCCTGAGCCCGCAGGTTCGAGACCCGCCTGGGCAACTTGGCGAGACCTCATCTCTACAATAAATCAAAAATTAGCTGGGCATGGTAGTGCGCGCCTGTAGTTCCAGCTACTTGGAAGGCTGAGGCGGAAGGATCGCCGGTGTGGGCGACGGAGTGAGACTCCAACTCAAAACAAAACAAACAAAAAAAGAAGTGCAGCATGAGCCATTTGTGAATTGTAACGATAACTCCGCAGGGTAATGAGGGAGGCACCAGGTAGGAGGCTAGTTAACAGTACTCATTTAATAACTACCAATTAAGTGCCTGTTGCATGCCCAAGCTCCACGCTAGGTTCTGTCTAAAGGAAAGTGCAAACAAGCAAATGAACAATAACAAAATTGGTAACACATGAAGCATATGAGGAAGAGCGTCCTGAGAACAGCTGGGAACAGCATCTCCCCAGACTTGAGTGGCTTGGATTGCAGGAACCCAGCTGAAAAATACGCAGTGCAAGAAGGTAAAAGAGGTGATAGGTTTTTAATATACTTAGGAGGTAGAACAGTCTAGCCAAGGCTGTTAGGACCCCGCATAGACCCCTCACTGTTCCCATACACCTTAAGCTTGCCACTGCAAGCATCTCTGAGTCTTTGCCTGAAGACATTCAGGTTTGTTTTGTACAACAGGCAAGCCAGGAAATACCAGGGAGTTACTAGCCCTGGGAGTGTCAACCAGTGTCAGATGGAAGTCAGTGGATAAACAAGGTTTGCCTGCCTTGCTGGTGGAACAATGCTGAGGACTGCCTTAGGCAGAGGACCCAGATGGACTGAGTCCCAGCAGCCCACAGCGGAAACCCACTTATTAACACACTGTGTACTCACTCCCTTCCCTTCCTGGTCTCACTTCCCCATCCTCCTACCAGTGTTTCCTGAAGTCATCTCTCACATAAACTACTTGCACTCCAATCTTTGTCTCAGAGTCCACTTTGAGGGAACCTAACTTAAGACAAACTGAAAAAACATTTAGAACAATTAGATGATGGAAATGAAGACGGATATATGAGGCTATGGGATTTCCAGCTTAGGAGGCACTGATCCCATCAACTGAGATAAAAGACTCTTCAGTATAAGAAGAGGGATAGATTCAGGGAGAGCAGGATGAGTCTGAAAAGAAGGGACTTGCTTCTCAACATTCTCTGAGTCCAAGGTTAAGGCTCCCGACTTTGGAGAAAGTGAAAAGAAATAGCAGAAAAGAAGAAAGAAGAAACCAACAGATATGAACATCACAATTCCCTAAAGGTGTCTTCCTTGGACCCGAGAGCATACAAAGCCCTCGCTGTCTCTTCCAGTCGGTTTCTGTATTCTAGCTTCTCATAGTTGGATGGACTCACTCCCTTAAAACCATGCATAACTCCCCACCAGCAGCCAGCAATGGCAGCTGTGGAGTCGCTGTCTCCACCATGGAAAAAGGCTCGGTGGGCAAGCTCCTTCCAGGAGTCTCCCGCAGCAAGGACGGCGTCGTAGGCGATCATGGGGGCGTCATGCCCGCTGCTGCCGCCCCAGCCCGAGTAGCTCAGGAAAGTGTAGAACTCATCCCTCTCCTTCACATCGAAGGGCTTGGGGAAGACAGGGGCTGATTTGCCGTCCAAAATCCCTCTAAGTTTTAGGTAATTTTCCCATTGGTTTTGAAAGTAGGACCTATAAGAAGGGAAAAAAAAAATCTATAGTCAACTGAAAGATATGGTAAAAAAACTACAAGGAAAAAGCACCATATGGATGTGTGAACAAAGAAAATACCAACATAACTTCAACTCCTTGTACTAACAGCATAGACCATATAAAATCACAATTATATCTATCTAAGCACCATTCATTCAATAAATTTTTGCTAAGGATCTACACAAACAAGGCATTGACCCTCTTGCTTAATAGAGAAGATAGATATGAAGGTAAAGGGTAGGAAATAAATGTTTATTTTTCCTGGATTGACAGTAATGTCAAATGTCACCTTTCAAGGGGGATCTTCAGGACATCATGACCATGGGTCACTTCAGTAGAAAATCTCTTTTTATTCTAAGAAAGAGAATGTGAAGTGAACTCATTAAAAGGGGAAGATGTGGCCTTTACTACTTATTAGTTAGCTAGTGGAAAAACCTCTCTCCCTCTGGTATTTTAGCCCAGGGTTTCAAAATATTATCTGTGAGTCAAGACAAGAAAAAGTAAGTTCCAAAGAAGTAGGAAATAAGCAAGGAAAGTTTGTCGCAGCCGTAGGACAGTCACAAACTATAGAAAGCTGGAACACACAGCAGGATCCCTATGTAAGAGGAAGGCGGTGCCCCTGCTACTCTTTGAGGATCCACTTGGCTACTTTGTGGCAATCGTTGCTGGCCAAGAACTTGAAATCTTTAGCAGGTGGGCAGGGAGGGGGCTGGGTGGTGAGAACCATGAGAGTTGCTGTGCTCTCTGAATTCGAGATTCACATGGGCAGGTACCCACGCACACAGACTCAGCTGTGTTCCAGCAGCGGCGTGCACCTGCAGACTCACCAGTTTTGAAGATTTTCCTCCACAAAGTAGCCTGATTGGATGACGTACTTTTTAGCCTCAGGCAGTACCCCCATCAGTCCTTTTCCCCACTGCAAGGGTGGTTCGCCATTCACAGCATAGGCTGTGAAGAGAGCGGACACAAGGGCCCCCAGGTAGCCTGTTGGGTGGTGGTGGGTCATTCGACCGCTCTCGATGCTCACTTGGATCAGCATGTCCAGCTGGCTGCGGTGAGGGAACCGGAGACCGATGCACATGGACCGCATGGCAGCCCCGCAGCCGCCCTCGTGGCTGTTGAAGGGAACCCTCCAGCCATTGGCCTTGTCTGGCTCCAGGCGCATGGCGTTCTTAACTGATGTGTCACCTGGGAAAGAGTTGGACAGGGCATGAGGGTCAGTGTAACCAAAGCAAAGGCTCTTGTGGGAAGAAATAACTAAACTCTGTCCCCAAGTTTCTTTGATGGAAAGGGAAAGTCATATAGATAGACGACGATGATGAATACCCCCAAAGCATATAGAGACTCTTGGAATCTTTATCAGTTATTACTGAGGCATCACAACAACTCAAAAAAGTAGGCACTGCATAACATATTATTCTCTTTTTTAAACGAATAAGATCAGGCTCAGAGTCTGAGAAACTTGCTCAAAATCACACAAGCTAATTCGTGACCAGGTAAAAATCCATCAGACTTCAAAGCCCAGCCCTTAAGGAGTCCAATGAGAACCTGACTATTACAGTTCCTGACTATCACAAAGATGCCACCAATTCTAGAGGGAAGTCCCAGGGATCAGATGAGGAGCAGTGGATTCAGGGGAAAACGTGCCCTAGGGTGAGTCCCCTCCTGACAGTGGTGTAAGAAAGTTTGTCTCAATAATCTATCTTACTGGGGAGCTGTGAATACACACTGTCAGTTTATTCACAACAATGTTCATGGTCGACATGGGTGGACAAAAAATAAATAAAAACAACCTTCCACTTGCCAAACTGATGAGCTGTCAGATACTGAGAAAGGATGAACAGAGACTGGTTTCTAAAGCCAATCCTTGGGGTCGCTAGAGGTACTGGGGATGACGATGGGGCGCTTTTCATCAAGGGATGTTATGTGCTGAATTGTGTTCCCCCAAATTCATATGTTGTAGCCCTAACACCCAGTGCCTCGATCTGGAGAGTGGACCTTTAAAAAAAGAGGCCATTAAGCTATATTGTGGCCTGTAGGGTAGGCCTGAATCTAATCTGACTAGTGTCCTTATAAGAGGAATGAGGACACACAGAGAGACACCAGGGATACACACATAGAAGAAAGACCATCTGAGGACACAGAGAGAAGGCGGCCATCTACAAGCCACGGAGAGAGGCCTCAGAAGAAACCACAGCTGCCAACCCCTTCGCTTGGACATCCAGCCTCCAGAACTGTGAGAAATAAATTCTGTTGTTTAAGCCACCCAGGCCATGGTATTTAACAATTATGGCTGCCCGGCAGACTAAAACAGGAGGAGAGGTAGATCAGAGGGGCCAGGGAAGGGAGAAAGTCACCAGGTGGCCCTAGTTCCCAAAGTGACCAAGACCTGCTCCAGAGCAGACATGTGACCAGAAATCAGTCTCCAGAAGACTCTTTTCATTCTTCTCTGAAAAGAAAAAAATCCATGTTCTTCTTTTTACTTGCTCCTGACAGGAAACTTAGAAAAGACAAATACATAGAAAATAAGAAACTATAAATACTACCACTGGCCCAGATGTAATTACTAATATCTTTGTGTTTGTTCTCCACACCTCTCTCAACACAGAGATACATAAGTATTCTTTAAAAGACGGTGGGCTCATATCACACATACTGTTTGGTAATCTATCTTTTTTTTCACTTTCCATAGCAGTGACTATTTATCTGCATAATTTTATGTTACTAATATTCTTTTCACTGACAAACCACAGTTGTATATATGTATGTGGTACAATGTGATGACTTGATATATGTATACAATGTGAACCAAGTAAATCAAGCAAATTAACATATCTACCACCTCACTAGTGATTTTTTTGTGGTGAGACATTTGCAATGTCATCTCTTTGTTATTTTGAAATATATAATATATTACTAATGACTACAGTCACTCTGTATTATTTTATCTTTGACTCATTTATTTTATTTTTATTTTTATCTGTTTTAAAATGGAGATGAGGTCTATGCTGCCCAGGTTGGTCTCGAATTAATGGGCTCAAGCAACCCTCCTGTCTCAGTCTCCCAAAGTACTGGGATTACAAGCATCAGCCACCACACCCAGCCTACCCTGTATAATTTTAAATGGTTGCAAACATGTCACCATAATTAAGTAAATCAGTAGACATTTAGGTGGCTTCTATTTTGATCACAACTACAGACACTACTGTCTCCTTGATAGCTGAATCTCCATCAAGATTCTTACTGGCTGGGCTCGGTGGCTCAGCCTGTAATCCCAGCACTTTGGGAGGCTGAGGCGAATGAATTGCCTGAGCCCGCAGGTTCGAGACCAGCCCGGGCAACTTGGCGAGACCTCATCTCTACAATAATAAAAAATAATTAGCTTGGCGTGATAGCGTGCACCTGTAGTTCTGGCTACTTGGCTAAGGCAGAAGGATCGCCGGAACCCAGTAGGTCAATGCTGGGGTGGCCATGAGCTTGCCACTGCACTCCAGCCTGGGTGACAGAGTAAGACTCCAACTCAAAAAAAAAAAAAAAAGATCCTTACTGATTTCCTTAGGGCCTGTTTTATTCTCCGCACACACCTTCCCCCCGGCTGCACTCACCTGGAGCCCGGCCGTCCATGTCTCCCATGCAGTCTTGGTAGTGCTTAGCAAGGAGGGAATACAGTCGAGCCAAGTCTGGAGCTGTCCCAGCTTCCAGGAGGGCTTCCGCTGTGGCCAGGTGCATCACCGTGTCATCACTTACTCTCCACCTTTCCACATCTATGGCGTCCAAGCCCCCCAGTTGGGCCAACTGCCGGTGAATCTTCTCCCCATCCCGGAGGAACTCCCACTTCCTGTTGAAGTACCCCAGGGCATCTCCAGTTGCACTCAGCACCATGGCAGCCACATACCTCTCCATCAGTCCCCCACACATGCCGGAGAGGCTGTCTTTGGGAGCAACTAAAACATGGGAAGGAGAATGAAGAGGAAGAAGAATGAGAAAAAACAACAATCCCAGTCACATTTTATTGAGCACTTGCTACTTGTAGATATTATATTAAGTACATTGCAGCCAAGCTCGGTGGCTCAACCGCACCTGGCTAATTTTTTATTTTATTGTAGAGACGAGGTCTCGCCAAGTTGCCCAGGCTGGTCTCGAACTTGTAGGCTCAGGCAATCCACTCGCTTCAATCTCCCAAAGCGCTGGGATTACAGGTTGAGCCACCGAGCTTGGCTGAGGCGGAAGGATCGCCAGAGCCCAGCAGGTCAATGCTGGAGTGGCTGTGAGCGTGCGTACCACTGCACTCCAGCCTGGGTAATGGAGTGAGACGCCAATTCAAAAAAAAAAAGTGCACTGCATTTCATCCTCATAATTGCTCTACAAGGAATGTATACAAGTAATGAAGAATCATGGAGATGATTCAGTTTGAGAAATGTTAAGACTTGTCTATCACAGATCTAATAAGTGGCAGGATGGTATTCCAACATAAGACTATCTGACTCCAAAGTCCATGATTTTAACTACGGCTGCATATTTGCCTCTTGGTGAGTGGCAAGGCTATCAAATTCTGCAAGTCAACCTCAACTCATTGCTTTCTCTTTTTAGTTGGGATTTAGACTCATTAAGTACAAGGCTTTACTTACATAATAAAACTCCCTACTGGTTATCACACATGCCCAGTTCACAAAGTGCATGGTCATTGTCTCACTAGCAGGGAGAGATTGCAGTACGCATTTCGCAGATCTGAAAACTGAGGCTTAGAGAAGCTAAATTCACACAACCAGTGAGCGGAGGCACTGGAACCCAAATCTGATTCCAGCCAGACCAGGATGCTTGGTATTACACCACTCTACCTCAGCCTGCACCTACTCACCCTGGGCAACATTTTGGTGCCTCAGTCTCCACATTTGCAAAATGGTACTGATTTCAAAAAGTAACAACCTCCTGGATTTGTCATGAGGAGTAAATGAATGAAATTTCATAAAGGACTTAGGACAGCATGTGGCACATAGCACTATTTTTGTTATTATTTTTATTATGTGTGCACAACCAGGGAAAATGAATTTTCTATTACTGAACTAGAATGCTTTCTCCCCACAACCTTCCTTCAACAGCAATATTTAAATGTTTTCTTCTAAACGATCTGCTTCTAGGGTATAAGACTCTCAGTTAATATACCCACCATGAATTAAATCCCTGGTGAAATGCTGGCTTCCCTGGAGGTGCATTTCCTAAGAGCCCTGGTCCTCCAGTCAGTTTCCCAGGGTGTCCTATTCCCTCTGGCTCTCAAGTCCAAAGCCCCCATCCCCTCCCCTCCAGGTCAACACTTTTTTTTTTTTAAGTTGGAGTCTCACTCTGTCACTCAGACTGGAGTGCAATGGCACGCTCCCGGCTACTGCCGCCTCGACCTGCTGGGCTCCAGCGATCCTTCCGCCTCAGCCTTCCAAGTAGCTGGAACTACAGGGGCGTGCTACCACACCCGGCTAATTTTTTATTTATTGTAGAGATGAGGTCTCGCCAAGTTCCCCGGGCTGGTCTTGAACCCGCAGACTCAGGCAATCCACCCGCCTCGGCCTGCCAAAGTGCTGGGATTACCGGCTGAGCCACCAAGCCCTGCCTCAGCCAACACTTTTATAAGGGTCAGTGGATTCGCTCATTCTCCCCCCAGCTCAAGCCCCTTCCCCACTCAAGCTGCCCTTCCTTCCCCGCACTTACCTAAATCCAGTTTACTATGGGTTTATTGCAAGTCCTAGGGCTTCCAGGAGTCCTTTTCCAGCTGCACGACTGTGGGCCAGGAAACGCAGGCTGGCAAGCACCTTGGAGAAGATGGATTGAGTACTCTAGCACTCATTTACTGATCGTATGAGTTTCTTGGCTCACAAAGGATATTTGGAAACGTTGCCAGCATATTATATTATTTATAAATGAAGCCTAGGCATTGGCACTCTGGGTTACTAGACCAGACTCTGCTAAGAATGAGCTATGATTGCAGGACCTCGATTTTCCCATCTGTAAAACTGAAGCACATGGGGAAAGAGAGGTGTACATACTCCCGGAAGTCCCGTCCCGTGCAGTGGTTTTCAGAGGCCAAGACAAGTGGCCTGTGAGGACTAACTTTTAAGCCCCATACCTTCCCTCCCAGTGTCCCCAGCGTCCTTTCTGCAATTCCTTCTGGCTCCGGCGCACGGTGCGTTTTTGCCCGTTGTAAACGGGGATGCGGGAAGAACACCAGCTTCTCTTTCCCTTGCAAGGGTTTCTTTTAGCTTTCGTTTCGCACTCACTGCGCCAGCCTCCCGCTTTGAGGACGCCGCAATTCCCAAAACCCCTCTGAACCTTCACGGGCCACGGACATTCAAAACTAAGGTCAGGACAGCGGCTTTCAGTGGCCAGTTTGGGGCTTGGGGGTTCGCCCACAAACAATATGCAAAGCGGCCGCGGCACCGGGA